ACAGTTTCTCATGCTGTGGTGACCTCCCAGGCATAAAATTATTTCATTGCTACCTCCTAAGTGTAATTTTGCTACTGTGATGAATCATAATGGAAGTATTTTATATGTAGGATATCTGGTATGCGATATGCGACCTCTGTTCACAAACCCTTCAAGGGTTATTCAACCCCAAGAGGTCATGACCCCCAGGTTGAGAACCACTGTTTTAATGCCATCACGGTGTCTTAGAACTTTGTAGTATACATTTGACAAAGAAATGAACAAATCGTGAATAAATATAAGAAATTAACCCACTGAGCTATGGTCAATCCAAATATCACATCCTTTGTCAGAGTAAGACAAAAGAAAGACAAAAGAGGTTTGTGTTATTGTTTTTTGTTTGTTTTTGTAAAGAAACAAATTGTATTTTACCGATTCCTTCTAGCTTAACCTTGTGATGAACAAAGACATTCGATTCAACAAATTGCTACTACCTCACTATTATTAGACACAAGGGATTTGCTTCTTAAGAAATTACCCTTCAAGTCAAATTTTAGCAAATGCAAAGGACAAATTTTAATTTTAAAAAGACTTGTTGAAATTCACTTTAACTAGATAATCAATAAAAGTGTCATGAACTCGCTTCCCGTGACTACAAAAGCAGGTATGAAGGGAAGAGGTTATTGAGACGAGTTATTTACTGTTGTCACACAACTTTTGGACTCCATGAGAATTTAGTTTCCAATGTTAGTGACAAGACGGTGGCAAAGACAGATAAAGTTTGCAGTGGGTAAGGGGGCAGAGTCTTTTTAAACACCTTGACAATTCATGTCTCTAGGTGGAATCTCCATTGCTATCAACATTGCACAAAATCCAGAATTGTTTCTGAGCCCAAGCTACTCCATTATCATAAGAAAATCACCATGCCGATGCCAGGGAAGAAGATTGGTCTTGAGAATTAACTTTTTTCTGGCTTTGCTGCAGCAGTCAATGTATTGCAAACCCATCCTTCCTCTCTGCTTAGCTCCTTTCCAGTCTATCCCCTCCAGCTCTCTTAAATAGCTTTGTTTTCCAATCAAAGTCCCTTCTCAACTTTCAAATATAATATCTTCCTCCTCCACAATATTTTTACTGATTCCCACACCTGAAGCTCATTTAGTCTTTCTATTCTCTTTTATCATCACAATTCCTCAGAAAGTAGTTTTATGTCTTCCTCTCCTCTTCACCCCTTGTTCTCTTTTGGTAGGGCAATCTTTGCCCTGTCTACCTGAACAAAAAATGTTCTCTAAAAGGACACTGAAATTCTAGGATTTCCTCACATTTCACACAGTTCAAGTTTGTTGTTGTTCTATTTTGTTTCTTTGTTTGTTTCGTTTGTTTGTTTGTTTTTTTCAGACATGGTTTTTCTCTGTAGCTTTGGAGCCTGCCCTGGAACTCAATCTGTAGACAAGGCTGGTCTCAAACTCACAGAGGTCCGCCTGCCTCTACCTCCCAGCACAGTTCACTTTTTTAAGATCATCTGACGTTCATGTCCCATCAGTCTTTCAACGCCGCTTCTTTGATACCTGTGAATCTTTTCATTCCCTACCATCCGTGTGGCACATTTCTTCCTGACTTTCTTGCTAACAGCTTCCTCTCTCCCTTCTTTCTGTCATCTCTTCCTTCCTCTCTTGCTTTCTGTACCTCTCTGCCTCCTTCCTACCTCTTCACAACCACCACCACCACCACCCCTCCACCCCCCACCTCCCCACACCCCCACTCTCCACTTATTCCCAGTTAAACAAGTGCAGGAGTCCCCAGTGCCCTCCTCAGCCACAGGTTGTTTCTTTGCTGCATCCTCCACTTTGCAAGTATCTGATTCACCCATGACTTCAACAACTCTACCTGAGTGGATGCATCCCAACATTACACACCTATGGGAGGTTTTTGCTCAGTGGCATTCCTCCAGCATCTCAAACATGTCCTACCTCTGGCCCTAGTCCACTCTTTAGGACTGCTAGCTCCAGGGACCCCTCCTGTGCTTTATCTGCCATCCCATCTGTTCTCTAACCTGTGGAACCTGTCAGTCCAGATTCTCCCCCCTTGATCTCACCCTGTGGCTCCTCTGCATCTGCATCTACTTAGCTCTCTCTTCCTTACCTCGACTTTGATTGGTGCAGAAGACCCAGCAGCCTTCAGCCTGTAATTTCTAAGTCTTCCCATTGCTCCTACCGGCTATTGTCCAAGTTGTCTTTCAAACCTATAATTTCAGCATGCTTTTCTCATGACCAAATTACTTCAGTATCCTTCTATGGCACACAAGGATTTGATGTCAGGACTGGAAAGGTATTTGTCTGTAGTCTGTCTACTCACATCTCAAATGAACAAAAGCTCAGAGAATTACTATATATGTCATTTTCTGACGACCCAATGATCTTTCCACATCATTGTCTGTAAAAGCCCAACATTTGTAACTGAATTCATTCTACAGATTAGAAAAGAAAAGAATAAAACAGCTCACGTTAACCCACCATGTTTTAAAAAGCAGACTAGGCGGTTTTGTAATTACCCATTCAATTGTGAGTCTGACACTGTGGTGAAACCTACCTGGACTTTTGCCTAAGTTGCTTCTCATGGGAAAGAGAATGACCTGGCTTCATAAAGTAGGGAAGAGTTCTTAGTCATCTGGCCAGTTACCCAAAGCAGTAGGCACTGGCGTTTCACACCAGGAAGGGAAATGCAGTAACAGATAGCAGATGACTAAACAAGAACCGTAGCTATGAAGAAATGACTTCCAGACAGAGAAGGTAGCCCGGCAGACCTGTCCCACTCACAAGCAAGAGCAAGAAAGAGTGCCCACAGCAGCAAGAACTCACTTGAACAAGTGAGTTCGTAGTCAAGCTCAGCTCTGTAGACAGCATTGCAGTTGTACACCCTAACCATTAAGCTGTGCGGATTCCTATGTTGCCTTGTATCTCTGTTGCTGCTGCCGCCATTTCTATATAAGCAGTACCAGTGGGCCAGGGAGATGACCCAGTGGGTGAGAGTAGTGCTGCTATCCCTGAGGGTCTGGGAGTGAATCAGCAGCATCTAAAACCTGGGCATGGCCACAAATGCCTGTGACCCCACTGCTGTGGGGATGGGACAGGAGGATGGCCACCACCCTAATCTTCTCCAGGTTCATTGAGAGACCCTGTGTCGAGGGAGCAAGGCTCAGAACACTCAGTGTCATTCTCTCTTCTCTGCACATGTGCACAGGCATTCAAGTGAACACATATGTACTCATACATCAAACACACACACACACACATACACACACGGATAACATGAGGTTATATCAACTCTTGATAATGCTTTACTTAATAAATTTATTCAAGAAAACAGGCTATCTTATACTTGATTGCAAAATAAACACATATTGAGGATGAACTGCATGGGATTGCATTTTGCCATAAATTAGTAGTCAGGCCTCAGTTTCCTCTCCTGTATAAAGGAGATAATAATATTAATGGTGATTACTGGGCTTGTAAGGAAGATAAATGGACAGATTTCTCTGGCCACATTATCTTGTACTTAGCTATCATCCAATTAATGTCAATAATTACAGTGAATGACATAATGTCATGAGTAATAATTCTCTTCTTGCTACTCATGTTGATCATAAATACATTTTTGTTTGTTTGTTTGTTTGCTTGTGTGTTTGTTTGTTTGACTTCTTTTTCAAAACATCTTCTTAGAAACTGAAATTTTATATTTTCCTTACGGATGAAACTGAAGCCAGGTGTGAAAAACTAATGACTATGTTTAATATTATTCATATCAATTTTTTAAGTAAACACTATAGCTTTTTTTTATATTTTATTTTCCAGTTTAAATTTAGATAAGAAACGAGGTTGCTTCACAAGTCAGTTCCAGGTCCCTCTCCCATTCCCTCCCCTCCTCCCCTGCCCTCCCCCCAATCCCCCCCCCCGTTATCCCCTCATTCCCCCAGGGAGGGTGAGGCCCTCCATGGGGGTGTCCATAGTCTGTCATTTCATATAGGGCAGGGCCTAGACCCTTCCCCAAGAGTTCAGGGTGAGAGTGCACCTCACATTGTTCTATGGGAGTCTAAAGTCCGTGTGTATACTTGGGATGGGTACTGATCTGCTGCCCAAGGCTCAATAGATTCCCTAGGCCTCCTCACTGACACCCAGATTCAGGGGGTCTTGATGAGTCCCATGCTGGATTCCCAGGCTGATGCCTGGGATTCAAGAGTTAACCTTTGTCTGGTCAGCTGTTTCTGGGGGTTAAACCAGCCCAGCCTTAATCCCTGTGGTCAGTAGTCCTCCCTCTCTGTTACTGGCTTTCTTGAGTTCAGCTCAGTACTTAACCAAGGGAGTCTGCCTCTTCTTCGATCAGCCACTAAATGAAGTTTCTGTTTCCCAGACTCTCTGGCCATAGGATTGTAGACTGGCACTCCCCAGATCTATGTCTAAAATCCATATATGAGAGAGTACATGCCAAACACTATAGCTTTTAATATCAGTGCTAGCATCTGACTATGAGCATGGGTTTCAGGCTGTGCTGCTATGGTGAAAAACTCAATTAGAAGTTCCATACCTCTTATTTGAAAAGACATTTACAAAACTTAAGTGTCTACGCTGGTGTTAGCTGCTCCTAGATGCACTTTAAAGCAACGAATGCAAAAAGAGTTAACTTTTAAATATACACTTGCCACATCTAAAACAAAAACACAGACACGTTACTTTGATATGTGAATATTGGTGTTTTAAGAAATGACTGCAATTTTAAGATTAAAAATAATTTAATATATCCTGATATCAAATCTGGCACTTCACTTAAACGGAGCTCTACTCAGAAGCACGTGCTTTAATTCAGGGAGAAGTTCCCTAGTCAGGAAAACTACAGCTAAGGAACATCTACTGCCATTAATTTAGCCCACACCTGCATTGTTTGATTTTATTTTATGTGTTTTTAGTTATGGGCTCACATAGAATTGAAAACACTCAGTAAAAATTAACTATTGTTACTGCTTTTTACAGGTGGTGCTTGAAGTTAACAGTGAATTTCATATCCAGGTAAGAAAAAGCAACCCTGTTTTTTTCTTTTCCAAACTGAAAAACAAAAGGGCCAGGCATAGTAGTGCATGCCTATAATTCCAGCATTCCTCAATCTGAGCCATGGAGATTGTGGATTAGAAGTGAATCTGAACTACATAAAGAAACTCTGTTTCAAAATCACACAATAAACAAACAATACAAAATTAAGAAAAAAGAGAAGGGGAGAGGGAGAAGGAGAGAGAGCAAAGGGAAAGATAGATTAGCAATGACAACACACATTCAAGAAAGCCCTCGTTCTTCTAAATATAAGATTACTGTGATGTTACAGTTGCAAATGTTAATATTATCAGAATTCTTTACCATCTTCTCTTCCTGGCATAATTATTCTTCCTTCCAAATCTCCAGTGGAATACCAGTAGTAATAAGTAATAGTTAATGGGTGCTATATTTTACCTATTTTAGGTAAGAGACCATAACGCCAAAAATGGTACCATCAGTTGGCACACCATCAGAAGGCAGAAACGTGAGTGGATCAAGTTCGCAGCAGCTTGTCGGGAAGGTGAAGACAACTCAAAGAGAAACCCTATCGCCAAAGTAAGTGTCAGCCCCAAAGCATGGATCCGAACAGCACCGTGGATAGGGTCACAGTTCTGGAAGGACCCAGATTTTAAGTGCTTTGTGCTCACGTGCACCCAGAAAGTTAGGACCTAAAAGCACCTCCCCATTCAAATTATGAAAACCAAAATTCCTACGGGGATAAACCAATGAAGTTGTGTACTTGAATTAACAACTAAACATTGTTTCAGTTCATTGACAGAAGTAGTCCACATGAATATTTGCTATGCTAGACTTCAAAACGACCATGGTTTACAGATGGACTTGGAGTTCAGCATGCTGAGAGTATGTGCTCTCTCTGCTTTGACCTATTAGAACTTAACTTCTATTTGTCTGTATGTATAAGCATTCAAAGCATGCCTCATTCATAACCTCAAATTCCTCATTTTCCCTTTCTTCCTTTCTTCAGACACAAAAGCACAAATTCAGGAAATTACTCACACAGTTTCACCCCTGTCGGCATATAGAGATATACACAGATACAAACAACCATTCATACAGATAGATATAACTACTGCCTTGTAAGATTTACGTAGATTCATACAATATTTAGTAGACAAACAGCCAGACTTTAATCTTTTGTTAGATTCCTTTTCTTTACCACTTTCAGAATTAAAAGTTTCAAATAATTTGTTACTACCAAAATTGATTTAAACATTTTCCTGAATCTTAGCATTTTTTAAAGTTGTTTTTCGCCGGGTGGTGGTGGCGTGTGCCTTTAATCCCAGCACTCGGGAGGCAGAGGCAGGCGGATCTCTGTGAGTTCGAGGCTGGGCTGGACTGATAGCCTCCAAAACAATACAGAGAAACCCTCCCTCGTAAAAACCAAAAAAAAAGTTGTTTTTTGATTTAAAGATCAATGTTATGAGATAATGTGCATGTGATATAAAACTCTCTAAGAAAGCAAGGAATAAACTACTACTCTAGATAAAGCTAGAATAGAATCTAAAACTATAAATGTTTAATGATTATGAAATCTATGCACAACATCTATACAGACTTCTTAGAATAACATTTGTTTCTTTATTATTTGGTAGACATAGAAATAGGGCTGGGCATGGTGGTACACTCCATTAATGCCGGCACTAGGGAGGCAGAGGCAGACAGATCTCTGTGTATTCAAGGCTAGCCTGGACTACAAAGCAAGCTCCAGAACAGCCAGGGCTCTTAAACAGAGATACCCTGTCTTGAAAAAACAAAAACAAAAATGAACAAACAAAACAAAAAAGACTTAGAAATGTAATTATCTTATTACATTGCTGTTTACCATTAAGAATATACACTGACCATGTACCTACTACTAAAGACCATTTTCCAGTTTTCAACACTTCACAAACAGCACATTCAACAATTCTCAAGGAGAACAGTTGTCATATGTCACATGTAGAAGTCCACGTGCCCCCGTAACATGTTCTTCTGTGTCTTTGTACAGATTCATTCTGATTGTGCCGCAAACCAGCAAGTGACATACCGCATCTCTGGAGTAGGAATTGACCAGCCACCTTATGGAATCTTCGTTATTAATCAAAAAACCGGTGAAATCAATATAACATCCATCGTTGACCGGGAAGTCACCCCCTTTTTCATTGTAAGTGGGCTTTGTGTCAACATCTGTATGCAGATGTAAATTATTCTTGGAAAAATCTTAGACCATACTAGATTTAATTTCAAGACTCTCCAAATCTGGCTTCCTGAGATCTTTCTTAATTCACTGGAACCCCAATAGATGAGATAAAATAATACATACACGTTTCCCTTACATATTAGCAAAAATGCTAGTTAACATCAGTTCCATGACAAATTAGAGTATTTGCTTGAAAGGGCAAATCTTTGTTTTTGTTCTATCTTTAAAAAGAAAATCGATGGAAATTGATGGTTCCTTTTAACTCCAGTGCCAAGTGATGATCCTGGGGCTCCTCGAGGCTGTTCATTCCGTTTGAACATATTTCATCATGACTTTATACTGCTTAAGATCATCTAGGCTCTAAAGGAAATTAAAAAACTCACTCGTCCATAGTCTCTCTCCTCTCCCCCTCTCCCCCCTCCCTGTCTCCTTTCCTTGTAGAAGCTGTCACACAACTTAAGCAGCCTGTCTTGCAGTGCTCCACCTCCTTCTCCCTAAGCAGCTCAGCCCCAAACCAAGCCACTGTCCCCTATCCTGATGCCTCCCATACATACACACAGCACATTCGCTTTTCACTCGGATACATTCCTTGCCACTTCTAAAACATGATCAGCTTTCTGCTTTCCTGGAGCTTTCCCATGACATGCCTGTCATCCTGCTGTTACTTGTCTCTTGAAGAGAATTATCCTATCACCTACTTTCCCCCTTCTATTCTCCTTAGTCATTCATTACCTGCATTCCCATCGATGGTCATGGCTAACACTTCTTAATCAAAAAAAAATAAAATAAAATAAGCTGGGTGGTAGTGATGTATGTCTTTAATCACAGCACTTGGGATGTGGAGGCAGGCAGATATCTGTGAGTTAGAGACCAGCCTGGGCTACAAAGGGAGTTCCCACACAACCAGAACTATACAGAGAAATTCTGTCTCCAAAAAACCAATAATAATGACAACAACAACAATAATAATAATAATATAAAAACAATCTTTCCAATTAACTTGTAATCTCTTCTATTAAAATCCCATAGAAGATTTGAGAATTTAATTCAGTGACCAAGCATTTGTTTATTGTATGTAAAAGCCTGGATTCAATCTCCAGCCCTAAAAAGGGATAATATTCTAAACTACCTCCAAATATCCATTAGTCCTTGCTGTGTTCATTCACACTGCACATCTGCTTTCCTAGAACTACTTTAATTCCTGAGTCTCCAAGTCCAAATCTGTGTTCTAGACTTTCTCCCTCCACAGTGTCTCCCTACAAATTCAGCACATCAGCAAAGCAGTCCACAATGCACTGTTGCACAGAGATGACCTCTGTGAAATAGTACATATTATAGGTCTTCTTAAAGGAAGCAGTAATAATCAAATAAACAGCCACAAAGCCACACCAGCACTTAAGAATGCCATATTGTTTTCAAAGTGCTCTTCTGACTCTCCCTGGCCATGTTATCTGTGCCCTTCCCCTGGTACTCTTTCTCTTGATTTTAAATATAGAAGCTGCAACATTCCCTCTATCTAATGTATCAGCTTACCTTTTTAAACTGGCATGCTATGCTCTTGTTTGCCTTTTCTTATTGATTATATGTGTTGATCATGTCTATATTTTAATGGGAAATAGTAATGTGGTATCCCTTAATCCTACGTGGCACCAAGACAATACCTCCATTCTGTAAGAACTTACAAATGCATAACTCACCAGGGATCCTTTTCTTTCATATCTAGATCTACTGCCGAGCATTGAATGCACAAGGCCAGGATTTGGAGAGCCCACTGGAGCTTAGAGTCAGGGTTATGGATATAAATGACAACCCTCCTGTGTTTTCCATGACTACATTTACAGGACAAATAGAAGAAAATTCTAATGCAAGTGAGTCACTGGGGGGACTACTAAAGAAACGATGTGTTGATGACTAAGTTACTGTTTCTAGGCAACTGGGCTGAGCATCATCAAGGTAAACATCAGGTGGGAGGCAGAAAGCATCCAGAACCAACAACTCAGAAAATGGCTGCAGAGTCAGCCCAGGAGCACCTCCAAAACAACAAGTGGAATTCAAACTCATGCCTCAAGGCCGAGCTCCTAGGAGAGTCTTGCAATAAATCCCAACAAGATCTGCACAGTAGGGGCAGGCACAGAGGGATGAGAATTTTCTCTCTGCCCTAGTGTGTTGAAAAGCAATCCCACTCACGTGTGATCATCATCCTTACTTCCACTTTATTGTGTATCCAGATGTAAGAAATGCACCTCTTTATAGGAGTGCATAAATAAGGTTCAGGAGCATCTCCATGTCTTTAGTCAGCAAGCACTGAAGAAGTCCATACTCATGCTTTGCAATCATTCTGACATGTATCATAGATTGTTACCCTATTCTGCTGAAGAACCCCAAAGAACTCATGCATGGTAAATGTGATCACCCCTACTGAACTTTTTAAAGGTCATTGTTTTTACACAAACCAAGCCAGGCACAGGAAGACAAATGTCATGCATTCTCACTCATTTCCAAAGCACTCTTGCAGAAGGATAGAGGGAACAGTGGTCGCTAGAAACTGGAGAGCAGTAAATAATGGAAACACGAGGAAGTTTATTATTTTAAAGTCACCCAAAGGTATCTGTTCCAACTAATCCTCTTTAATGCTAAGAGCTTTCTTAACAACAATAAATGCCAAGAAATCATTGCTGCCCCTTTCCACTCAAGCTATAATGAGTGCAGTCTTCCCTTCCTATCTTTTGGATTTGGCTCCAGGAACACTAAACATAAAGAGATGTATGGAACTTGCATCCTTTTACAAATGTTGCCTTGTTTGCATATAACTCGCATACATCCCTCCATAGGTTTATAATTATTTCCAGATGGCTACAATGCCCAATACAATGTAAATGTCATATAAATGTTTATCATCCAGTGTTTCTTAGATAACAATTACTAATGACATGAAAAGGCTTTTATATACTCAGTCAAGTTCTTTGAATTTTTCCCACTCATTATGGGTTGAATCGTGGGCATGGAACCCACAGCTGCAGAGGGCCGACTGCACTAGTTCTGTTTTGTAATCATTCTGCTCACACTCCTGGGTTTTTTATACTGGAAATATATTATAAATGCAATTACAAGTGGCTCACTGTGAATATTTGAAACATATCTCTCAAATGGTGAGCTGGTGCAAACTAGGTAGCACTAAAGAATCTATTCTACTGTGGCATTTCTCTGTGAGGGCTCTGACATCATTGAAGTAGAGTAGCTACTCTATGTCTTCCTGTACCTACACATTTTTTTTTGTTTTACGAGACAAGCTTTCTCTGTATTGTTTTGGAGGCTATCGGTCCAGCCCAGCCTCGAACTCACAGAGATCTGCTTACCTCTGCCTCCCGAGTGCTGTGATTAAAGGCGTGCGCCACCACCGCCCGGCCTGTACCTACAAATTTAATTACCAAGCACTCAGTCATCTAAGTGGGACAGGAGACTAGAAAGAAGAGGTGAGAGGGGGAAAGAGAGAGAGAATTCAGCACAAGGGAAAGAAGAGAGAAGAGAAGGGATAGGATGCCCTGGTATACTGGCAAATCATTTTGGAAACAATTTAGAGAGTAGAACAGAATTCCAGTTGATGAATAAATCTTGATAGTTTTTCATGCCCATTAGTGTCATTCATCAAACTACTTACTAGATTAAGAAGGAAGATAAGGACAGGAAGTACATGTGATTAAACAGACATTTCCTGTAAGCTCCTAGTTACACTGCACCTACACAAGAGCCAATTTCAATCTAAACCACAATGCCACTTCTTAAATGCCCAAAATGGACAATAATATTCATAAAAAGCATTATTCAGTAGACATATCAGTCAATATTCTCACTTGCTGTTGAATTCTTACATGAGTGTGGTGTTATTACAATTCCCATTTATAATTGTGGGAAGTAAGGACAAGATCATACAGTATAAATAAGGTTAGATAGCACAGTTGGGAAAACATTAACTTAGTTTTAATGCTATTTTCTTTCACCGTCTTATTCATAAGAAATTATATTAGAATAAGAAATAGAGTCAAAATGAAAGACTTCTTTTCCCCATCAGTAGTGTCTAGGCTCCTATTCAAATATGTCTTTTTTATCAGGACAAAAGTAAAGAAAGGAGTTACTATATTGGTATGTTGACACTGTGCAAAGAGAAGAAAGTTGAGTGCACCCTGCATGAACAGAGATAACATACTGAACTGTAATAATGTTCATTGTCCAATTGTGGCAACTGCCCTTGCTTTCTAGACACACTGGTCATGAAACTTGATGCCACCGATGCAGATGAGCCAAATAACTTGAACTCGAAGATAGCTTTCAAGATCATAAGACAAGAACCTTCAGAATCACCAATGTTTATCATCAACAGAGGCACTGGAGAAATCCGAACAATGAATAATTTTCTAGACAGAGAGGTAATTATTCTTAATCTTAAAAGATTTTATGTTCAAAAGGAGATGATTCTAAAAGTAAAGTTACTTAAGAGAGAGGAACACTAAAAGAATGTGTTCAAAGTTTGCATATTGTTTATTATACTTATTTATTTGGGGGGTATGGTCATGTGCCTGCTGTGGTATGCTTATTAAAGTCAGAAGACAACTTCAAAGAGCTGGCTCTCTCCTTCCATCATGTGGGATATCTTTCAAGCTGTCAGGCTTTGTGGTAACTACATTCACCTGCTGAGCCATCCCACTAGCCCTATTTTATATAAAAATTTTAATTTAAATATTTTTATTCACAATATATTTTGATTATATTATTTTCCCTCCTCAAAATCCTCCTAGATTCCTCACCTCCCTATCCACACAATCTCCTCTCTCTGTCTCTGTCTCTCTCTTTCTCTCTTTTTCTCAAGAAAACAAAGATAGAAACAAACTAACAAAAAAGATAAAAATATTAAAATAAAAAATTCACACACAAATAGAAATCTATTTTGTTTTGTGTTGACACGGGCCCCTGCCCTAGAGTATCATTGATAAATCTAGCGGCATTCCATTGCAGAAAACTGTTTTCTCTTTCCCAGCAGGTATCAGTTTCAAATTGCTTCTAGGTTAGGGGTGAGACTTTATATCCACTTCTCAGTACTGGGACCTTGGAGAGTCCAGAATACCCATAATCACAGGGAATTCTGGAACCATGAAGAGATGTGCTGAAGTTACATCCATAAATGGGAAATATTGTGTTTATGCACAAGTCTAAGGAAGGTTCCATAACTTTCAGCAACTTCTAAAATTGGAGGCAACACTGAACAGAATAAAAAAGAGAAACATCATCAGTGACTCATTTTCCCACCTTTCCACCTGCCACTAGACATCTCCTTATTTGCCCTGAGTACTCAATGGTGCCTTGCTCATAACATGGAATTTTCATCTCACGTATCCTTGATGAACCATATCTTTCTCCTCTTGAACATTCTGGCCCTTTAGAGCCTTCTCCTCCCTCTGGACACTGAGTAAGAAATGAAGTCTTTAAGAAAACTGTTGCTTCTTTGAAATTATGCTGGGTAAGCATCACTAGAAATGGAAGTGACAAATCTATGGGTTTTCACCTCTGTTACCTTATTTTCTATTGTGGATTTATGTAAATGTTGAGCCAGTATTTTAAAAGAGCTCTACATAAGACAGACTATCTATGCCTGATGTGTCACAGCTAGTAATGAATGTGTGTGTATGTTTTCAGCAATATAGCCAGTATTCCCTTGTGGTGAGAGGCTCAGACCGTGATGGTGGGGCAGATGGCATGTCTGCAGAATGCGAGTGCAACATCAGAATCCTGGACGTCAATGACAACATCCCATACTTGGAGCAGTCATCTGTAAGCATTTGTTCTTGAGAACTCGACTTAATGATTTTACATTCCTTACATTCTAATTCACATAGGAACCCAGTCAGTTTTCAGGCAGACTTGCTTCATTCGCTGTCTACAATACCAGTGTAGGCACACACTTCCTCTTGAATCATTTCTCCAGTGGGAAGAGTGAATTTGAACCATGAAGTTTGCAATTATAAGCAAGGATGTTGTTTCTGAGTAGGTAACTGTGACCACGGACAGCCGGGCACAGGTTCTCTGCCCTGCTCTGCTCTGATATCCTGCCTCTTGTTTCAGTACGCCGTCAGCATCGAAGAAAACGCAATGCACTCGCAGCTAGCACAGATCAGAGTCATTGATTTGGATGAGGAGTTCTCAGACAACTGGAAGGCACTCCTTTTTTTTATCTCTGGAAATGAGGGAAATTGGTTTGAAATAGAAATGAATGAAAGAACAAATGTGGGAATTCTAAAGGTTGTCAAGGTATGGCATAATTATCCTAAATAATGTGTCTCTCTGACCTTTTCTTTTACAACGCATCAAAGTTAAAATGCTTTAAAATTATATAAACTATAACTATCTTTAACATGAATATATATGATTATATTGTTTCAGGAAAAAAAGCATTAAAAATTTGAAACTCTCGTTATCAATACAGTCCTTATTTCTACATAAGAGGGTCTCAGACAGCAAAATATAATTAACCTTTAAATTTAAGGTCTTGCTAAGTATTTATTCAAAGAGTTATTTTGATAATTTTTATTACATGCATGTGTGCCTGAACCTGTGTGGAGTGTGGGCACATGACTGTAGGGCCCCCAGAAGCAAGATGCAAGTGTATGCCCTTAATCATTCAGCCGCCTCTCCAGCTCCAAAGTCAATAGATAAACAGTATTTTCAAAGGCAGATTTATCGTGGTCTTAAAAAAATCTGCCCATGCACACATAGAGGTTTTGATATTATGCCTTAAAAATATCCACCATATAAGCTAAAAGTTATTATTCTTCCAGAATGCTAAAATTAAATCATTGTCATTTTCTAGTGTGTTCTTTATGGAATTGAACTGTGACAATTGTAGAATTATAGAACCTTCATACACCCATCTCACTGTGGCTATGGGCCAAGGCTTATTTTATTTCTCCTCTGTGTCAACTGTCTAACACATCACATGCAGTGGACTGTCCTCTGAGATGGAAGGGTAAAAACCTGATTCCTGAGAAGCCGATAGTAAAGTTTTCACCCTGTGACACAAGACTCAAGGACAAAAGTTTTAAGTCTTCAATAATTGCTCATGACTGTATGTGATGCACATAATATGAATCATTCATGATACAATCAGTTCCTCTTCATCTACTTATTCTTCCATCCTGCCTGCAAAAGCCCCTCCATTCCCGGGGAATTCTGCCTTTTAGGGTAGACCCACAGTTCCCCCAGCTCTGTCACTCTGATCTCTCTACACTTATTCTTAGCGCTGGTGCAGTCTGTAGTTCAGAATAACCCTACAAAGCTGATTTCCAATGAACTCAGTCCCTTCCGTCTGAAAGTGTGGGCTTATGCCTCCCATGTCTCCAGAATTTCATTTACTGAAACTATTTCCAGTTCTGGTTGTCTCTCTCAGCACACCTTGCAAATTAGGTTACATTAAATTCACATTGCAAAAAAAAAAAAAAAAGATGGAGATTCAGACAGCTTGTACCTTGTTCTAATTTTTGGCACAGACACTTAAATCTGGCTTCCTTATCTATTAAATTCATTTTTCTGTGATATTATCTAGCACTGGATGCTGGGGAAATCGATTTCTTTTTTTCCCTTCAATTTTATATTACTCTAAAAAGTATTCACATTATTTCTTCTTAATACCTCTACTGAAAACTAGGATAGTTCTCCCAACTATGATAGCATATAGTAAACCCTTTATTATAATTACATAGAAGTAATACAATTATGATGTGCATTTATATGTATGCTATACACATATATGATATAATTGGTATTTTAAGTTGTAAATAAAACTATTTCAGACAAAATTTTAGATGAACAGCAGAGCTCAGTGTAAGGGTATTTTACTTACAATAATCATAAATATTCAGAAAAATATATTTGGTACACAGGGAACATATCAGCTATTTGGCAATTTTTATGAATTATAGATTTGGGTATAATGTCCATAATGAAACTTACTACTTGATTATTTTATATAATGAAATAATTTTTGGAATATATTAAAGAAAATAAGGATTTCTTCATGTATTATATACACACATACATATAAGTATGTATATGTGCATTGACATTCAAAAAGTCACACTAAGGTGAATTTTCAAAAATTCTTCAGGGATAAAACTAGTAAAATGATCAGATCTCTGATATATTTGACTCATATCTTATTATAAAAAGGGCAACTTTCTCAGAAGTATACAATGCTGTCAGCTAACAAATTATTGCACTGCAAATACATGAATTGGATCATATGTTGAATTTAAGTATTTAACTGCTTTGGCGAGCAATTAGGATTCATGTTCTATGCTTTCAATCATTTTAACAAAAGACCCAGAACAACTAGATGTTTTTTATTTGCTGTATTTACACGTGTCTACCTTTAACTAAATACCTAACAAGTAAGATTAGACTACATCATATGGATTTATGTTCAATTATATAACTGAAACAAGAACACAGTAAATTACTTCGACTAGTCTCAAAGGATTTCTCTGTCCTCTGAAATGTTTTCTTACAGTAAAACCAATCCTTTCTGTGTTTTCTAGCCCTTAGACTACGAAGCCATGAAGAATATGCAACTTAGCATTGGTGTGAGAAATGTAGCTGAATTCCACCAGTCCATTATTTCTCAGTATAGAATCACAGCAACTATGATCACTGTGACTGTGTTGAATGTAATTGAGGGCTCAGTGTTCCGGCCAGGTTCAAAGACCTTTGTAGTGAATAGTCAAATGGGAGCAAATTACAAAGTGGGAGACTTTACAGCTACCGACCTGGACACTGGCCTAGTTTCAACAAATGTTAGGTAAGAATGGCATTTTCCAACGGAAGTTATAATTTTAGGGGATCGTGAGAAGGGAAGATGGCAATCTCAGGGGAGCGGTGAGGGGAAGGGAGTGAGTGTGACATGAAGGGGAAGGGGAAGGGAGGGAACCAGCCAGAGGAGGACAGAAGGTAGGGGGGAAGAAAGATGAATGAGAGCAAAGTACGTGGTACATGCGTGCGAAAAGACACAATAAATCCATGATTTTGTATGCTGACCTGAAAGAAGTCATTTTACTAAGTCTCTTCTTAAAAACAAATTGCTTTAATTTCTATTGTATTCTTCTCAATACAGATATGTAATGGGAAATAACCCGGCTGACCTGCTGGCTGTTGACTCAAGAACAGGCATAATAACTTTAAGAAACAGAGTTACGATGGAACAATACGAAACGCTTAATAAGAGATATGAAGGAACAATACTGTCAATAGATGGTAAGAAATCAATTTAACTTTCTTCTAGAGAAAACTGAGCATAAATATCCTCAGGTAATTTAAACATGACTATCCTATTGTAAAGAAATCCCCTTTCCAATAAAAGTTGTTAACATCGAGCACTGTATGCTCAAACCTTCAATAACATGAGGCTAAGACCTTGAAGGCTGTGGTGAGACTGAGTGGCTGTCATGTCCCATCACTGACTGACTGTTGATCTTATAGAAGTCATCTCACCCATCTACACCCCAGTTTTCTGAAAAATGGGTCAGTAACAATATATTCTGACAAGTATAAATAGCAAAACATGTAACAATATCATGAACATCATTGAATACATGGGGATAGCCTTTAAAATTAGATAAGCAGACTTAGAACTATGCCCGTTGCCCATCTCCAGAGATTTTATTTCTTTTATTCAGAAAGTATGCAGCAAGTCTTTAATAACTAAGTGCCAGCCTCTGTCAGTGAAAGCAAGGCTCACAGCTTCACAACAGCACAAACCAGGCTTTACCCTTATTCCTATCTGGTGATCCTGCCTCCAACAGTCTTTGGGAAAGTGCTAAAGATAGAAAGCTGATTGAACAGAAATGCTGGCACAGCACTGCCTTCCCCAAGTACTATTAAAAGCCATATATTCCCAGGCAACTGAGGAAGGCAACTATAGTCCAATTGATACAAAATTATGTACCTGTCAGAAACCATGTTAATCAAATGTGTACATAAGCATGAAGGAGTGTGTGCAGTTAAAGTAAAAACAAAACAAAACAGTTCCTCAGATCCTGTTCAAAGTAAGATGGACTATAATATCATATCAGTAAATAAACAACATGAGCCTTATCCCTAAGGATAATTGATCAGGAAAGAATCTACAAAGCTATCATTATATACTGATGCTCTGGGTTAGCTTCTGGTTTCAGCTCACAACTGTCTGTGTTTTTACATTATTCAACTGAGATGTAATATCTAACTAGCGACACTCTAAACGATCCAGCATTGCTGGTGATAATGATTAGGCTAGTTATAATAACACAGTCGTTGACTGCCATATAACTTGAGTAGAAGGACTAAGGAGATGGATTGCTGAGAGTCCCCAAAACCCCCACTAAAGGGACATATCTTTGGACACTTGTAATCTCACTGGCAATGGGGAGTCGACCCTGGGGCTGTGTCTTTTGCTAGCCAGTCAGCCTAGTCTTTTCTCCAGGAGTCTCAGCCCACTAAGGGCCCCCGTACAAAACAAACAGAAAGCAGATAACACTTGAGGATCCTTAACTGAGGTTACCCCCCAGCCACACACAATCACGCATGCACGACAGTCACACAGACTGACGCGACAGTCACACAGACTGAGGGCAGTCACTGAGTTGATGAGAATAAAGACAGGAACACGTTGAGGTGGGCAAAGAAAGTGGTTCTGTATTTCTGACCATTGCGAGGATGTGTACAGACGGATATTCCTCTGCGAACTTTGTTACAGATAATCTTCAAAGGACCTGCACTGGGACAGTCATCATCGACCTTGATGGCTCTGGCTGGGTGACAGGCACAGAGACCAACACAGGAGATGGTGGCAGTACAGAAGGCGGAGGTGGCAGTACAGGAGGTGGTGACAGTACAGGAGGAGGTGACACAAGTGAAAACACTTCCACTGAGGAAATGCAAGTCACCACGGGATCATGGGAAAATGGCGACAATGGCGACAATAATGGCAGAGGTCCCTACGATAATGGTGATGGCACTGGCATTGACCGGCAACCAGGTGGAGACAACGTTCACTTGGGTCCTGCAGGCATTGGGCTGCTCGTCATGGGGTTCTTAATCCTAGGGTGTAAGTACTCCAACATATCCTTTGGCATGGGTCTCTCAAAAAATAAGATGGGGAAAAAATAAGAGTTTTCGTTCTTGGATGAATATATCTTACATCCACTTACATTGTGTAGTTACCCAGAAATGTTTGTGCTTAGTATTGAATTCACTGGGAGAGAGAAATCTACATGTAAACAGCCAAGAGCCTGAGAGGCATGGCATTGAAATAGAGAACTCCCATGGGGAAGAAATCAAGGCTGTGCCAGACTGTGTGGTAAGGGATCAGGCTCAGAAGCCTGACTGGATCCTGGAGGATCTCAGGCATTGTAAAGCTGCAAAGTTTAATAAGAGCCAAACATGGCAGGTGTTCAAATTAACAATGTATGTCTTCCAAGGATTGCCTAATGATTCCGAGTTTTGCTGTTGTTCTTGCAAAATAATTACTGCTACTTCCCTACAACTGCACTAGATGATGGAAAGTTGCCACAGGTGAAGTCCATGGAACATCCTGGGACCACTACAGTGGCCTTAGTCATGAACAGAAATGCAAGCATAGAGTCCAATGGATGTGCCAGGCAGACTTTAACATTGCCCTGGATTATGATGGAAACGGGGCCACAAAGGGGGTAGTATCTTGAAGCCTACACACTGACATTAAGTTAACACAAACATTGGTTGACACTCCAGGCAGTTGGGAGGTTGCGGCAGGAGGCTCACAAGTTTAAAACAGGCCTGGAAAATATACAGCAGAACTCCAAATAAATAGATACAGAAATGTGAAAACTGCCATTTTCAAGCGCAGAATCATAAAATCTTGGTAGAAAAAAATCATGCCTCATAAGTTTAGCTAATTATTCACAAACTGTGTATTGAGATAACTCACGTGCAAAGTTTTAAAATATCATTTCTGCCTTCATTTCTCTCTTTTCAAAAAGATATTTTTATTTTATGTTTTGCCTACACGTATACAAACACAAAATGTATGGGCCTGGTGCCTGCAGAGGCCATGAGAGAGTGCCATGAATCCCTTGGGACTGAAGCTGTAGGTGGCTGTGAGGGACAGAACCTGGGGTCAGAGCCTGCATCCTCTGCTAGAGTTCTTAGCCACTGAGCCACCTCCCCAGCTGCTGCTCTGAATGAGTGAACAGCTGCAAATGAATACTTCTTCACTCTGTTTCCTCTGACTTTAGACAACTCACCTTTGAAACATTTCATTGGCATCGATCCATCCAAACCACAGAGAAATTTGGGCATGCTGAGAGAACAGTTTATAGTTGAGCACTCTCTCTTGAATTTGAAACACACTTCAAAAAACAATGAACATTCTGTATTCAGTAACAGAAATTCATCCCTATTGGCCCACAATAAATAGAAATAAGGACCAGGAAAAGTTCTAAGAGAAAGATAATGAGTTTAAAAATACATTTTTTTCATCAAAATCAACCAAATAAAGGAAGATGTATGAAATGTGAACGACATGAGAAGAGATGTCCCTCCAAGGTTTGCAGCCAATTCTTCGTTTTACTGAAGCAAACTAGATACCAAAGAGCTGATGGTGACCACTATAAGTAACAGCTAACTTTCATTTTCACTTCCCCTAAAACCAATGTTCAATATCAGAAGGCGTGTCTAATAAATGCTTTCGATGTTACCCACAGGGCTTTGGGTCAATGACTCCTCTCCCAGGTTACAGATTTCCAAAACAAGTAAAACTCACCAGCGTCTTTCCCTTTGCTTCCTTTCTATCCTCCCCTCTCGCCCAGGTCCTTCTTAATTTCCCTCTGCTATTTACACATCCTTTCTTTCTATCCATCCATTCAAAATGACCTAGCAAGAGTCTTCGACAAAAGCAAATACGTGAGTGAAAATCTCAAACGGGTTAGAAAGAAAAGACGCTGCCCAAGGGTGATAGTCTCTATTCATGTGAGAAATGTTTGGAGAAAAGATGTCTCTGTCGGGGAAAAGTATAGCCTTCGTGAGGATAATTGAGTGAGTGACTGAGAGTTTCCTTTACAACAGAAAAAGAAAGATATGTGAAAATGGGAAAGCAAAGACAGACATGCGGTACCCAAAGTGCTGCCTGAATTCAGCTCTTTTCAGTCTCTGCTGCTTTCTTGAGGGATGATGGGGAAAGAATTAACCATTGTAATCATGATTTTATCCGCAACTTTAATGCTATAAAACAAATTAAAAATTCACTGCAGTCTGGTGCTTCCAAGCTCAAGCTTATTTGGGAGTCTGACATATTTTTAATTTGTAATTCTGGCATTTAACATGGTGATTTTTAAATTCAGGCATCTAGGGAATTCTCATTTAACGACTGAAAATCAGGCTGTTGTCTTCCAGCACAGCCCACTGCTAACCCCTTCTTTCTTTCTCTTCCTCAGTGGTCCCATTCTTGTTGCTCTGCTGTGATTGTGGAGGTGCCTCTGGTGGTGGAGCTGGCTTTGAGCCTGTTCCAGAATGTTCTGATGGAGCAATTCACACATGGGCAGTAGAAGGCCCACAACCTGAACCCCACGATGTAAGTGCTAATCTTTAAGAATGGGATTTGGGGACTCACTAAATCCCAGTCTCCAGACATGCCCTCCGATGGTGGAAATCATTCAGTCTACACTATTCTTGGCTCTTCGGTACCTAATGAGGAAAGGAGGAGGAGTAGAACATACATTGAAACCCAGTAGAAGTTACCAGTGAAGGCTTAAACATGAGATTCAATTTTTAAGTAGAATCCAAAAGCTTCCTAAATAGTATTCTTTTAGGAATTCTGTGATAGTTTTAGAATACAAACTATACCAGTGGAGAAAGAAAAGACTCGTTACTAATAGGACAATGTTGTCTCTTGTCTTTTAGGGTATAGCCACCATCTGTGTGCCACAGATGCTACCTGGTAATGGCAACATTATAGAATGCATTGACAACTCAGGTAAGAAAGAGAGGAAGATCCACTTTTGATTTTTTTGTTTTGTTTTGTTTCACTTTACCTTTCCACTTTTTACAGAGAAAAATATGCTCATTCTTGCCATGAATATAAATACTGACCTATAAAAAATCTTTCTAAATTCTTAAATTGAAAGCAAAACACTTTCAAAGCCTTCCAAAACCCTCAGCTAAGGTTGTGCACACACAATGGAGTTTCTCTTTGCATGGTGTTATGATTGTGTATCTACAACTCATCTTGAACCAAATGTCTAGACTGATTTCCAAGCAGAAACTAGAAGTTACTACTGTAATAAAAAGAACAATTAAAATAACTTCTTCTGTCAATAGACAGTCTCATTATGTTATTTTTTAGAAATACTCTTACCATTTTATCCTTTTAACAGCAAATATTACTTATTCCATGAGTTTTCCTTTACTCTTTTGAGCAATTACTACTTTTTAAGGACTTTGTTGTTTTTATTTTATATGTATGAGTGTTTGCCTGCTTATATCTTTGCACAGTATGTGTGCGGTGCCCTCGGAGATCAGAACGGGACATCAGATCCTTTGGAAGTGTAGTTACAGAAGGTTGTGACCTCCTAAGTGGGTGCTAGGAACCAAACCTAGGTTCTCTGCAATAGAGCCACTGCTTTTAACCAATGAGCCACCTCTCTAGCCCCTGTATAATTACTTTTCTACTTTGAATACTCTAAAATGCACCAGATTTAGGAATGTTTCTGTTTTATAGAATTGGATTCAATGGTCTGTTTATCTCCTGTACAATAGGTCACCGGTCCTGCTTCTCTTCCTGATGTGTCCATTTTTGTTAGTGTTGCCACTATCTCCCCATACAGAAAACAGATAACCACTGGATCACATCTGCTCCATTTAGTTCCCAGTTGGTTCCTGAGAGCCATCAATTTATCAAAATCACCAACATATATTTGTGCATTGATTTGTCATTAAGTGTAAAGTAGCATGGACGACATCAAGATAATTGGAATATGAAATGTGTGCTTCCCCCAAACTCAAATTAGAATGCTGTGGCCTGGGGCATGCATCCTACTGTGACACTCGCCTTATGCTCACCTTTTATGTCACTCCCTCAAGCACATGTCATGCTCCTTCCCACCCCTCACAACCAAGTGCCCCCTCAAGATGCCTTCCAGAAGCCTTTCTTCTCATTATAACCATGGCCGCTTTCAGAAACTCAGGGGTCATGGGCATCCAGGAACTCACTGGGCATATACTGATGCTGTTACTTAACTTTTAAAATTAGAGCTGCTTAACTCAACTTAATTCAGTTTGAAATCAAACTGTTCAGCTTACAAATTTTTATTATTTCATTGCACTTGTATCAACACATCTTATAGAACAGCCTGCCAACTAGTAATTAAAACTAGCAAATGCATCAACATCAGTGCCTTATAAATATTATTTGGAATTAAATATCATAATTATCCATCCTTTGTGCATCATCTTAATATCCTCTCGACTCACAAACACACCTTGAAGGAAGAAACTATACATGATAGTGAGTTAGTTTTTCGCTTATACTGCACTAAGAATATTAAATTTGATGTGTTCAATGTCATCAGGAGTTTATACAAATGAGTACTGTGGCAGAGAAATGCAAGATCTGGGAGGAGGAGAGCGAACAACAGGATTTGAACTAATGGATGGAGTTAAAACATCGGCCGCCCCCGAGATATGCCAAGAATACACAGGAACATTAAGAAGAAACTCGATGAGAGAATGTAGAGATGGAGGTCTCAATATGAATTTCATGGAAAGTTACTTCTGTCAGGTAAGGTTTTCAGTCACATGCTTTTCTCTCCACTCACCATCTTCCACGCTTTCACCAACTCTCCCGAGGGTCTTAGCCCTCTCGGCCATTTCTACCCACCTTCCAAGATTCAGGTCAAGTATCACCACCTCCCTGAAGCTTTAGCAGGATCCATGTTTATTCCATACTTTTATGTGTTTTCTTCTTAACACAGTTTATAAAAATTATCACTGCTAAAAATTATTAGTTTATGGGTACTATTTTCAATTCAACCCATGAATTATTTGCATGATATTTCCAATAAAACCTGAATCCAGAATCAAATTTTTTCATTTTGCCAAAAAAAATTTATCAAGACCATCAGCAAGGTGGCCACACTCACCTTGCCTAAATGGAAAATGTGATTGTAATCCTGGGACAACCCATCAACTATCAGTATCCCTCTGGACCAAAAGCAGTCCCTCCTACTAACTCTTTTGTACACACTATTTTTATTTCCCTACTTCTAAATTAGGGATAAAACAGGCATGTGTGGATTTTTTCATATGAATTTTGTGTTCAAAGTGCACTATTTTAAGCAAGTTCACCTAAAGAGAATTTTAAAATCCAAAATGTACTGGAGATGCAGCTAAGATAACTTCAAACTGAATTCTTTCAAGCATCTATGAAATCGTGTTTAAAGTAGTTCTAGCAAATATTAGACACATTTAAAACATGTTGTTACTGCTTTTTCCCATTTTCCTGTCCAAATTCAGAAAGCTTATGCTTACGCGGATGAAGATGAAGGACGCCCATCCAATGACTGTTTGCTCATCTATGACATTGAAGGTGTAGGCTCCCCTGCAGGTTCTGTGGGCTGTTGCAGCTTCATTGGAGAAGATTTAGATGAAAGCTTCCTGGATACCTTGGGACCCAAGTTTAAGAAGTTGGCAGACATTAGCCTGGGAAAAGAAATAGACTCATATCCAGACCCAGAACCTTCTTGGCCTCCTCAGAGCACCGAACCAGTGTGCCTCCAGCAAACAGAGGCAATCTCCCCACATTTTGGCACTACCACAGTAATCTCTGAGAACACCTACCCCTCCGGTCCCAGTGTACAGCATCCTATGCAGATTCCTGACCCTCTAGGCTATGGTAATGTCACTGTGATGGAGTCATACACCAGCTCTGGCACTCTGAAGCCCTCTGTCCACTTTCACGATAACCGACAGGCTTCAAATGTGGTGGTGACAGAGAGGGTGGTGGGCCCCATCTCTGGTGCTGATTTGCATGGGATGTTAGAGATACCCGACTTAAGAGATGGATCAAATGTTATAGTGACAGAAAGGGTAATAGCCCCAGGCTCAAGTCTGCCCACCACTCTGACCATTGCTAATCCTAGAGAGTCTTCAAATGTGGTTGTGACAGAAAGAGTGATCCAACCAACTTCCAGCATGATGGGCAACCTGAGCGTGCCCCCTGAGTTATCAAATGCCCACAATGTGATTGTGACAGAGAGGGTGGTTTCTGGGGCTGGTGTGAGTGGAATGAGTGGCACCACCGGGATAGGTGGAGTTGGAGGCGTAGGTGGCGGCAGCCTGGTTAGCACCACCATGGGTGCTGGTGGAGGGGGCTTGAGTGGGGTTGCGGTAGGTGGAGGTGGGACCCTGAGCAGCATGGGCGGAACAGCCACTATTGGCCACATGAAGAGTTCTTCTGACCATCACTTTAGCCAGACAGTTGGATCTGCCTCCCCTAGCATGGCTCGAAGTCGAATCACAAAGTACAGTACAGTACAGTATACCAAGTAGTCAGGGTCCCAAGTACTGTTCACCATCATCATTGTGATTTACATTCAACTCCTGCCCCCCCAATCTAACAGTGCAATTTATGATGCAGAGAAGGTTAGAGGAGACCTGTGGAGGAAGGTGAGGAGCCACAGTGAGAGTAAGAAACGGAAACATCACACGGGGAGAATGCTCCCCGCACTGGTAAACTTTCTTATATTAATACGAAAGAAGTAATGACAGTGAAATTGAGCAGTCTTATTCGTGGCTATGTGGTCTACAGGGTTTTTGTTTGTTTGTTTGTTTGTTTGTTCATTTACTCTGTGTGCCCTGTAGGGTATCACCAACATGTTGAATAAATAAAATGTGGTTATGTAAAAGCAGTGGCTTTAAATGGCAATTGGAAGAATTCTTCTTGCTATTCAGAAATTTACCAAAACAGGTTTCAATGTGTAGCTTGTGGTCACTTAGGTGAGGAAAATCTGATATTTCCTTCACTTATACCTTGTCTGTGTCATAGGTAATAAAAATTAAAAACCCTCCTATGGGCTAATGAAATTATAACTACATAGTTAATCATATAAGAAGATCCCAGTTATTCTCATCTTGACCACATCTAAACTGCATTTGATGGAATAATTTTCAAATTAAGAAATATGTTCTAGGAGGAAACCCACAGACAGTAACAATAGGGTGAGACTTATTTGACACAAACTGAGCCTGAATCTCAAAATGGGGTCTCAGTTAAGTCTCCTGTTGGAGTCAAGAACTTTTCAGGTTCCGGTTGTGTTTCATAGGTGTGATTTTGAAGAATGTTGCTTACTGGGGAGGATGTAGGACACAATGCTCACTTTTCTCTTTACCACTGAAGTAAATTAATAATAAAGGAAAGTTTCCAAGCTTACCTTAAACTAAAGCAAGTGACCACGATGTGGCTACCTTCATCTGTGTTAAATCACCTCCTAAGTACCCAGACAGGGTTGTATTGCATCTTCAGTGCAAGCAGTAAGGGACATTCCTATGCAGCTCTTTAGTGGACCATTCCAAAGCTAAAATAATTTACTTATGCTGAGGTGTGGGGAGGGTTGGGGGGAGCCTGCAGTGTGGCTAAGCTTTGAGGGAATTTTTAAGGGAATCTAAGGAAAAAAACCGGTTTTATAACATGAAAACTGTCTTGAGTGGGGAATGTTAGAAAAGGTTTGTTCAGTAAAGGAATATCATACTATTCGATGCAATTGAGATCAGTGCTTTTCTTGAATGGTCCTCTGCTGCCATTTGGAAATGATCAACAGGACCCTTTCCTAGAGTTGATGTTACCTCAGAAAGAATGAAACAGTTACTGGACAAACCCAATTACTTAACTAAAAATTTTTTATACACACAACTTTAAAAGTTCTTTATTTGATTTGTCAATAATCTCTTGGCTTCTGAATGTTCTGACTTAAAGACAGTTTACAAGTTATGGTATGATATATTTTTCTAGCTTTGAAATTTAGTAGTGTGCTATTTATTATGTGTTGTTTCTGTGTGTTTGCCATATGATGTTACCTGATTTAACAATCACTCAGAGAAAACAAAGCCTTCTGAGAGACAGGTGCATTTGCTATTGCAAGGTAGAGGAAGCTTTTCTTGTTTTTAAACTCAATGTTAAAATAAGGGCAGTAAAGCCAAATGGGATATGGCAAAATAAAAACAGAAAATGCTGGTCCTGGAGTTGTGAATTGCATACAACTTTTAAAGGTTTGTTTTTCTTCTCAATATTAATTTCTTAGGTTGTTACAGAATCACAGCATCATAATACAACTTCCAGTCCTTGTCAGAGATTTAGGAGTGATTGACTAGTCCAGCAAGAGCTACTTTGTTCTATATAAGAGCAAATGTGGTGAATATTGTAAAAGCCACAAAATGTCTAATTTTAACTGTGTAGAACATGTAAATTTTTGTTAACATGTAGTAAGCCAAAATGCAGAGGTGTAAATAAAGTTATTCAAAGGGAGTCTTGCATATTTTTCTAACATTTAGGGTAATGCATTGAGGATACGTAATTTTTTAAGAAATAAAACTCAAAAGGTATTTGTTGAAATATACTTGAAGATGCTTCAGTTTGGAAGTTTGAATATATAGAAATAATATAGTCTTACTTAGATACTTACTTACTTTCTTCTTCCAAAGGAAAGGTCCCTAACTACAGAAAGTATATTCATTGTCTTGGTGTGATGTATCCTTGTATCTTTACTTAGATACCTGATGAATTCCAAAGATTTTTTTAGAGATTGTTTAATAAATGGCAATATGGCCACCTTTAGTAAATGAGATTAGCATTCATCAATTTATATAAGACCTGCAGAAATAAAATTTTAAATGGAGAAAATGTCTCCCATATTCCTAGGAAAGCTAAATTGAGATCAAACTATTTCTTTCAAGGTTATCCAGCGTGTTTGGTTCAGTCCTACATTCTACAATATATTTTTTAATCATTACACCATTGAAAGGCAGTTGCTCAGGAATGGCCACAATCCAATATCTGGCTTTCTGAAAAGGTAGTCCCTAGGGACAGAAAAAGATGTGTCACAAATTCTTTATTTTTGAGTATGAGCCAAATTAAAAGCTCAGCTGATTTTGAAATATAACTTCAGAAATGTCTATCATGTGCTGTTTACCTCCATTAGTGTTCTTGGATGCACTACATTTGTACAGAAATTTTCACAAAAAAATGTATTCTTGATATTCTGAAGTCCATCTGGACATTTGTTCAACATTATCTATAAACACTGTAGTGTTCTATTTCATTCACTGTAATGTGCTAACTGAATTTTAATTATGTATTTTCAAAAATCACACTTTCTATATTAAGTAAATGTTTGCAGTTACACCATTTACTTCTGAATTCATGCCAAGATTTCGTTGACAGCCAAGGTACAGCTTGCATGACTTTAGTCTCTTTTGGAAAGACACTGAAAATTCAAGTAAACTCCCAAGTGCTTAGCATGCTTTCATATGTGCTTAATAAGGCCCAGCCCTGGTGTTTGTAGGCTCCATTACACATTGCCCGGGGTAGTCATAGTATAGTTCTCACACCCATGAAACTCAGTCTGTCTCCTACCTCCAAATTATTCACCTTTGTTAGGACAAAGCTCAAGTAGATCAACCAAATACTTTAAAGTTATGAATAATTTATTGTTTAATTATCTATATTCCCTTCCATCTAGCTGTCTCTGCATAAACACATTATGGCCAAAATGTACTTACTTTAGCATATTTTTCTTACACTGTTTTCCAAGCATTTGAAATTCTCATATCCACTTCTTGCAGTGTTTACAGATAAGGTGCTTTCTTTCACTTATAAACATTTGGGAGTGATATGGTTGCTAGCTCCTTGCTTCATCATCTGCTGACTATTTTAAGACAGTTTGTAATTTCCGCATACTTGTGTTTACAACAATAAAATGATGGATATGCCTCTATTGTCTTTCCAGAATTATATGGTTGGGGAGATTTTAGATTAGAAGTAAGAATTAAAATGTATCAAATCCAGCTATTATTTTAATTCCATATTCAGGGAGATAATTATTTTTACTGTCACAATATTTACATACGTTTTCATTCTCCTTTGCTTAGCTTCCTTTCATTTTGTGTCTTCCGATAGGCATCTTCTTCCCAAGACTGCATAGTGACGACACAGAGCAGCCGTCCCCAGGTGGGGTAGACACACTCCCAAGTACAGATGACAGCAATAGCAAGGCTTGCATTTAAACTTTTTTAAGAGACAGTGTTTCTTTTACACAGAAATATTTCTGGAAACTAGAATGCTAAAACAGCAATCCCCTCCCCTTAGCCCCTGGCATTTTCTGGGAGTCTCACAAACAAGACTATTAGCTCTGTGGACAGTGAAGGTATCCCAGCTTTCTGCAACCCCGCCATCTACACTTGCACCTCAGCAATTTTAAGCCTACGAGATGGCCCACAGGAATCACCCCATGACTTCACTGAAATTCCTTAGCAGCCTTTTAAGATAATAACTTCATAAATCACCCAAATGCTGCCTATGACTGCTGTAAAGACCAGGGAGTAACCTACAGGCATCCTCTCAGGCACACCTTATTCTTTCCCTCAGTGTCTCCGTCTGTGAACTGACTTTCTTAAATCTGTGAAGAAATGTCTTTTAATAAACTCCAGCTCTGCTTTATGCTGGCTCATTTTCAAATTGTTTTATGTGATAAAACCAATCATCAGGGTTTACCCAAGACCACAAATCTTTGGAGGACATTTTACCTTCAAACCGCAACACTCTGGCCTGGACAGATCATGATGGAGGAGGCTTTCATTGCCACCTTAAGAGACTCCCTGGCCTGTCCCTTCCTGTTTGGTTTGGGTTTCTATGTCTCTTATGAAAATACATTAATTATACATAATAATGATATTTTCATATGCATGTATAATGTTTTTCAGTCATATTTAACCTTCCTCCCACTTCACTCTCAAGCCCCAATCCTACTTTCACTAATCTCCTTCCTCATGTCCTCTGGCTTCCTTTTTACTTTCATGGTGTGTGTGTGTGTGTGTGTGTGTGTGTGTGTGTGTATCTTTCTGTGTCCATGTGTGAGTCTGTGGGTATGTCTGTGAGTGTGTCTGTGTGAATATCTGTGTATGTTTATGTATGTGTGTATGTGTGTGTGTATATGTGGGGGGGGTGCGGGTGTGTATCTTTCTGTGTCCATGTGTAAGTCTATAGGTATGTCTGTGTGTGTGAATATCTGTGTGTGGGGGGGTGTATCTTTGTGTGTCCATGTGTGAGTCTGTGTGAATGTCTGTGTGTGTGTCTGTGGGGGGGGTGTCTTTGTGTGTCCATGTGTGAGTCTGTGGGTATGTCTGTGTGTCTGTGCGAATGTCTGTGTGTGTCTGTGTGTGGGGGATTGTGTGTGGTTATGTGTGTGTGTATGTATGTGTGTGTCTGTGTTTATGTGTGGAGGGTAGGTGTGTCTTTGTGTGTCCATGTGTGAGTCTGTGTGAATGTCTGTGTGTATATCTGTGTAAATGTGTGTGTCTCTCTCTCTGTGGGTGTCTGTGTGGGTGTGTTTAAGTGGTTGTGTCTCCGTGTGTTTCATTGAGGTTGGCTATATGAGCACAGGTGAGATTTATTTACAGGAGTGTGGGCACTTCGCCAGTGACTACACCACTAAAGAAAACATGTCTACATGTCCTATCAACTGTTAAGTGTATATAAATCCTCAGGGCAAGGGAGGGAGGGGCCTCATGAGCTCCTCCCTCTTCCATGACAGACTGTTGACAGGCCCAATCTTGTCCAGATCTTGTAAAAGTAACCACAGCGGCTGTGAGTTCAAGAGGTCAATGGCTATGCTATGTCTGAAAGGCATTGTTCTATACCATTCCTCACCCCATCCAGCTCTTCCATTCTTTCTCTCTTCTGCCATGTTCCCTGACCTTGAAGGGATTGATACAACTATCCCATTTACGACTAAGACTCTAACAGTGCCTTATTCCCAGTACTTTGACCAGCTGTGAATCTTGGCAGTCACCACTGACCACTTCAGAGAGGAGATTCTCTCACCAAAGCTAACACAGCACTAACCTCTGCGTGTGAACATAGTTATGGAGAGGATAATTCCATGGATTCATCATGTCCCTTTAGCAAAACAGCAGCAGCTTTTCCACTAAGCTCTGTGACCTCCTGGCAACAGGCTTTTCATTGTATTTACAGTACCACAAAAGTACAAAGATTCTGTAACAATCCTGACATTGCTCAAAGTCCAAAGCAATCTCCTCTCTCTTTTACCCCAAGGCTCCCCTGGAACTTGCCATGCAGCCAAGGATGGTTTTGAACTTGTGATCCCCCTTCTTCCACATCTGACATGCTGGGATTACAGGTGTGTCCATTATGCTAATTTTCTGTGGTCTGGGGATTGGACCCAGGGCGTCACGCATGCTAGGCAAGCAGTTCACCACTCCATTCTCAAGGCAACCCCCTAAGTGTGTACCACTGTAAAACAAAATGACAAGTTATATGGTGTCAATACACAACTAGTAAAAATCCTAGTTCCAAAAGGGAGAAGTAGAGACACAGCAAGAAGAGACTGAACCAAAGCAAGACTGAATCACACAGGAGAGCAAACATCAAATCCTACCCCTGCATGTCCAGCATCTGAGGCTCATGATGGAATCGTCTGGGCTCCAAAGGGCAGGAGTAGCTCCACCCTTATAGTTCTGCCTCCTATAGCACACATAGCTTCTGTGCGGGAGTAGACTCTGTTCTATGAGTGAAGCTTTCCTCTACAGATCTGTCATTAGGATTGGGATGGGGATACGGCTCCAGGCTGCTCCCAGCAGCTGAAGGATTTCTTTCTAGAGACAAAACGTGGTTTTTGGAACTAGAATGTGCTATTTAATAAAATTGGTTCTTGTGTGTGTCACGCCAAGTCAGTTTTCTCCAACGGGGTCTCAAGATGCTCTCATAGAGGCAAAAGGAGATTTTAGAAGATTGGTAGGAGAGTCCTTATAATGAGAACAATCTGTATACTGTTTCTTGTGGTTCAGGAGTAGGATAGCCTATTCATCAGCCATTACATAAGTCTCTGCTGAGAAAGCAAAGACATACAAGCAAAGAACATGGCAGAGCAGCTAAGCAGCCATCGAGAAAACACAGCAACAGTTCTTCATGTAGATGATGGATAAACCCACAGCAATGCCAGCATTGAGGGCATCAGAAACTCTGCTCCTGCCGCCTCCTGTGGTGCCTAGCCTTGGTTTTCTACATTCTCCACCCAGTAAAAGCAGGAGTCTTGGTTTTGCCTCAGCAAAGAATTTCAGAATGAGCCAGTGCAGAGCAGAGATGGAGTTTTCAGTAGAAGACTTTCAACAGCTTTCACATTGGGAGTTAAAAGGAGGAGGGGTGCTCGGAAAAACAAGGAAGAGAAATCCAAGAGTGTGTGTGGCTTCTCAAAGGAGAGTCAGCGTTCAAGAGTGTGTTATTATTTCTCAAGAAAGAGTAGTGTCGAAACAGGCCAGCTTCCCGGCCTGAGTTCCAGAGCCTGCAGATCGCCTGGGAACTGCACAGAGCTCCCAATCCCGGCTGGAGCATCAGGTAAACAGGCCAGCTTCCCGGCCTGTGTTCCAGAGCCTGCAGATCGCCTGGGAACTGCACAGAGCTCCCAATCCCGGCAGGAGCATCAGGTAAACAGGCCAGCTTCCAGGCCTGTGTTCCAGAGCCTGCAGATCGCCTGGGAACTGCACAGAGCTCCCAATCCCGGCAGGAGCATCAGGTAAACAGGCCAGCTTCCCGGCCTGTGTTCCAGAGCCTGCAGATCACCTGGGAACTGCACAGAGCTCCCAGTCCCGGCGGGAGCATCAGGTAAACAGGCCAGCTTCCCGGCCTGTGTTCCAGAGCCTGCAGATCACCTGGGAACTGCACAGAGCTCCCAATCCCGGCGGGAGCATCAGGTAAACAGGCCAGCTTCCCGGCCTGTGTTCCAGAGCCTGCAGATCGCCTGGGAACTGCACAGAGCTCCCAATCCCGGCGGGAGCAAAGCACCCCAGACTCCAGATCTTCTCTCCCACCAACGATTCCAGGAAAGGAGAGGAGGCTGGGAGTACAGGGAAGTAGCTGTCCCTCTGGCATCATCAGGTAAACAGGCCAGCTTCCCGGCCTGAGTTCCAGAGCCTGCAGATCGCCTGGGAACTGCACAGAGCTCCCAATCCCGGCGGGAGCATCAGGTAAACAGGCCAGCTTCCCGGCCTGTGTTCCAGAGCCTGCAGATCACCTGGGAACTGCACAGAGCTCCCAATCCCGGCGGGAGCATCAGGTAAACAGGCCAGCTTCCCGGCCTGTGTTCCAGAGCCTGCAGATCGCCTGGGAACTGCACAGAGCTCCCAATCCCGGAGGGAGCATCAGGTAAACAGGCCAGCTTCCCGGCCTGAGTTCCAGAGCCTGCAGATCGCCTGGGAATTGCACAGAGCTCCCAATCCCGGCGGGAGCCAAGCACCCCAGACTCCAGATCTTCTCTCCCACCAAAGAGACCAGGAAACTACAGGAACCAGGGAGACCAGGGGAGTAGCTGTTCCGGATCAGGTACAACAGGACCCAGCATAGGGTCCAGGGGACCAGGTAGGAGGCTAAGCGCCCCAGATTCCTGTTCTTCTTCTCTACCCACGGACCAGCATTTGGACAAGGCATAGAAGAACCACCAGATTACTGGACTTACTAGCACCCACCAAAGGGAACTCTGGTCCCCAGACCAGGAAGGGGCTCTTTCTGCACCCACTAAAAGAAGAGATGGGAAAGAGACAATACAAAAACACAGTCAGCAACAGAAAAACAAATATGACACCGCCAGATTCTAGAGACTCCACACCATCAAGACCCCAATATTCAAACGCGAAGGAAGCAGAAGAGAACGATCTTAAAAGCACTTTCATGAAAATGATAGAGGCCCTAAAAGAGGATA